GGGATGCCAAAATAAAAGTCTTACTATAGTATGTGTCTCGTTTCTCATGGGATGCCAAAATAAAAGTCTTACTATAGTATGTGTCTCGTTTCTCACAGGATGTCAAAATAAAAGTCTTACTATAGTATGTGTCTTGTTTCTCATAGGATGTCAAAATAAAAGTCTTACTATAGTATGTGTCATTTCTCATGGGATGTCAAAATAAAAGTCTTACTATAGTATGTGTCTCTTTTCTCATGGGATGTCAAAATAAAAGTCCTACTATAGTATGTGTCTTGTTTCTCATATGATGTCAAAATAAAAGTCTTACTATAGTATGTGTCATTTCTCATGGGATGTCAAAATAAAAGTCTTACTATAGTATGTGTCTCTTTTCTCATGGGATGTCAAAATAAAAGTCCTACTATAGTATGTGTCTCGTTTCTCATATGATGTCAAAATAAAAGTCTTACTATAGTATGTGTCTTGTTTCTCATTGGATGTTAAAATAAAAGTCTTACTATAGTATGTGTCTTGTTTCTCATTGGATGTTAAAATTAAAGTCTTACTATAGTATGTGTCATTTCTCATGGGATATCAAAATAAGTCTTACCATAGTAAGTGTCTCGCTTCTCATGGGATGTCAAAATAAAAGTCTTACTATAGTACGTATCTCGTTTCTCATGGGATGTCAAAATAAGTCTAGTCTTATTATTGAAAAGAAGTCATATCATGTCTTGTTTCTCCAGAAACAAGATGGTTTTTAACCTCTAAAATGGTAAAAATGGTAATTGGACAGAACTTATATACCAGTACTTCTTTATCAAGCCCCTCCAGACCCCAAAGTGCTTTATACTTACGGACATTTACCCATTCACACTCACATTCACACACTGATGGTTTTAAGCTACACTGTAGCCACAGCTGCCCTGGGACACACTGACAGAGGTGGGGCTGCCATGCACCGGCGCCACCGGACCCTCTGACTACCATCAGTAGGCAAGGTGGGTGAAGTGTTTTGCCCAAGGACACAACAACTGAGCCGACTGGACGGGGGATCGAACCGTGACCTTCCGGTTCCGGACTCAGTAGCTCTGCAGGAACATCTGTGAGCTACAGATGTTGGAGGCTCTGATAACATCAGTATAAAGTACAATTTGAATATTAATTAAACTACAATTTTCTTGAGATTTTTTTGCTGCCTTTACTCTTGGAAAGTTTGCAGACAACCTGGCAAATTTATATATTTTATTTGAAATTCGTATTTTTGAGTTTGATTTGATTCAAAAATGAAATTCCAAATTAAAGCTAAAGCTCCTAAAAAACTTTGAAGTAACTCCARTCTGCAAAAAACAAAAGTCTTAAGAGCTGTGGTGAAATCAATCTTTGCAGAGTAACATCAGAGACAGGATAGTTGCACAGAGTGACTGCTGCAGGGAGAACAGGGGAAGCTGATGGTGAGCACAGAACCACAAATATACACCGACTGAGGACAGATTTCTGAATACTCAAAGACCTGCGGGGAAAACAAGTCATCTTTGTTTGAGAGTTTAGTCTTCAGTTTGTGCTACAACGTGACTCAACTCATCATAAAGAGCTTCCTGCCATCGTGGGCCTGGTTATTTTAAATTATTTATGGAAGTTTTCTTAATAAACAGATAAAAATGGGGGACCTCATTGAAAATAACTCAACTAACGCTTTTTAAAACTACGATCCTCTTAACGTTTAGTTTTTGGTTCTATCAAAATTTTCTTGAAAAAACGCAGTTTTTCCCAAAACAATATTCTATTAGTTGTTTCTAATCCCCGTCCACACGGCATCATTTCTAGGAAGGTTTTCATTCAAATCAAAATCAGGAAATGACCCAAAGCTTGCCACAAAAAAAAGTAAAACAAGGAACGAGGGGCGGAGCTTAAAGACTGCCTCGCTTTGCAAAATTTGAGAAATCTGTTCTGTCTCCCGTTTTCTCGCTGCCCTGGTTTGGGGGTTCTTGCAGTTCTTGACGTGGTCTAGGCAGAACTTTTTTCTCACCTGGTTGGTGAGAGATATTAAGTGGGCGTGGCCAAAGCAGAAAAGCAGAAATGGTGACGTTACTGGTTTTTCTGCTGCCGTGGCAGTTTGCACATGACCCAGGAGTTCTGCACTCAGGGGTCTCGAAGTGTGAAAACCTATTCTTTACACACTGGTTCTTGTGGTGTATTTGTTCAAAGCGAATCAGGCTAAATTATTTTACACAAACATACTCCCAGTTCCCAGAATGTTTAAATACATACTTGATGTACTTTTTAAATTTTTGGCATTGTTTTCAAAAAGTTGCGTTTTTGACTGTCTACATGTAAACACAAACACTTTTGAGCTCCTGAAATCTCATTTCCATGCGACAGCAAGGCAGGAACACTTCCTGTGTGGGTGCGGCCTGAGTTCAGGGTTTTTGTATGATGAATGAGGGCCGGCCAACAAAGCTGTGAAACAGTTGGATGGCGGAGGATCACTTCCTGTCACGCTGAGACAGTTGAAACAAAGTAAAAAGCTGACACGCAGACGAGCACAGAGCGAGCGGGAGAGGACAGGAAGCGCTTTGCCACGGGTCACCACAGTCACTGGACATGACGAAGCTAACATGGACAGGATGTGAGCGGGTTCACTTACAGACTGAGCAGGGAGCTAGTGAAGGGAAGGGCAAAGGTTTGGGTGGGCCGTCTATGAAAACCCCCATCTACATCTTATCGGCCTCCCCGTCGCTGCCATAACCATTGAAAACCTCACTAAACTCAGCTAAGTTGTGGCCGCCGCCGCTGGGCCTGGGGGTCTGGCTTTGGCTAGGCTCTGGACTATGACGGGGACCGCCGGAGCGGCAGGGGTAGCAGCATCGGTGGGACTGCTGGGGACGGGGGTGTTGGGACTGGGAGGGGGACGGGGATGGGGACTGGGCTTCCACCTTCATTCTCTTGGCCTCGTTGCGTGACTTGTAGCAGAACTCGATGAGGGCCACCAGCATTGCCAGACCCAGGCCCCCGACCAGGATGTAGAAGACCCCCGCCACATTGCTCAGGCTGAGGGCTTGAGAAGACTTGTCCTGCAGCCGGCGGGGCAAGAAGAACAAAGAGTCAACACAGAAGCAACRCACCACCAATAAATATACAAACAGGGTTAAAAGAACAGGACAAAAATGTCTTCATGCACACAAAAACTGAACCGATCCCTCTTTAACTACACTAAACCCCAACCTGTCAATCAGATTCACATTTTATTAACACAAAAACACCTCAAACCATAAATAAGTCCATTTAAACCCTCCTGCTCTTCGGTCAAAACGTCCTACAAGACCTGAGTTTCAACACTGAGGCCTCATGGGAGATTTTGACCCAAGAACAGGAGGGTTAAATATTTACAAAAACATTTTCTCACTTACCCCAAAGTACCTCAAATCCAGACTTATTGCAGTGGAGTCTGTGCCAAATGTTAAAGTAACTTTTGAGCGTAGCTTTGGCTTTTTGAACGTCTCGTTTAGCTCATTTAGCCATTAGTAGTTGGAATACCAGCTTCAGAACTACAAGGGAAGTTCTATACAAGATGTCCTGGTCAAGTCATTTCGTACCTGATGTCTACAGTTTTACAGTTGACACGACTCTACAGAAGTATTTTATTTTAAGAGCAGCTCAGTCGCTGCCTGCAATGTTTCACTGTTCAGGTGTTTATCTTGTGGTGGTAGCGATGGAGCTGCAGGCCACAAAGACTTCACCCAGCTGAGTCCTAAAGCTAAATGACAAGCTTTAAAGAATATTATAAAAAGTAGAGACAAGTTTCCACAGGACAGCTTTAAGATAAGAACTGCTGATCAGCACTTGAATGTGATGAAGACTAAAGGTTATCAACAACATTTGGAGTCAAAATTAAAAATATTGTATCACATTTTGTGAAATTTACAAAAAAAACCATGAGTCAAACAGCCTTTCCACAACTCTGTTCATTTAATGGTACAGAATGATTGACAGACGTCTTGTCCCGCCCCTCGGTTTGCTGCTCATTGGGGTTAATTTTGTTCAGCCCAACACCACAGGCAACGAGCCAATGAGGGTTGGATGTACAACAATGTGCCTCCAGCGTTAGTGTATGTGGGCRTGGTTTGGTGTAGAGTTGGCACGATGGTGAGATTTACATAAACAAGGTGGATTTTTTTTACATTTCTTACCCGTTTTTTTTTTTTTTTTTTCACGTCTGGAGGAAAAACTGGAAAGGAAGAGGTTTGGGGCGGACAGACCAAAGGAAAGGAAAAATGTGACCTGGCTAACAAGTGTAGCTAACAAATTTATTTTCTGTTTTTCATGTTTGCTTTTTGGAGGTTTTATATCTATAATTTATATAAATGTGACACTATATAACCAACACAGGTTATTTTACTACAATGTAAAGTTGTTCAGATATATTTATAGTCATAGATTTTTTTAAAGCCTTCATTTTCTATTTGTTTAAAAGAACTCACTGTAATTCAAGGAATAAGTTTAAGGAATAATTGTGATAATATTAAAACTTCCAGAACGTTTAATATGTTTAAACAGATGATTAAAGCTATTTATTGAAAACATAATTCTTCTAAATGTGTCAYGTTTATGCAGCCACATAAACAATGGAGCTGACGCTGTTTTGGCTTCAAAATTTAAGTCTGTAAAACACTTCTTTTACTATTATTTTAAGAGGAATTTATATATTTCTTTTTATTTTATTGAAAAAATATATAATTAAAAAGTGAAATAAATAAAGCAAAGACGAGCATTAGTAACAAAAACGGTCTTGATCGGGACATCCATAGATATCATTTTCTCGTAGCTTAGCGCTGAATTTAAACAATTGAAACAGATCTTGTGGTTGAAATGATGGCGAACTTCCTGTTCATGAAAATGACGTCACCTTATCCTTTTTGTTTTGAGGTAAGTGAGAAAATCTGTTTTGTTTTTATTTTTTAAACAAACAGCTTGTCTTTCAGCTCTGACCTTTGTTTTTATTTTTGAGAATTCAAACGTACGCCTGGCGTTTGAGCTCCTGCCTCTGACAAATCTGCCACATCCTTACGGCACATTCACCGTCTTGCCACAAAAACAAACGCGCCCCTCATGCTTTTAGTCTCATTTGCAGATGATGGCACGCATGGGCCTTGTGCTGCACGGATCTGATTACCCTCCGTCATGCTGCGGTGCATCGACAGTGTCCGTCGGACTGAGCCGAGGCATACAACACATCTACAAACATCCTGCCAGAAACTCTGAACATGCCCGGAACCTGTCTGTGGCGCCGGCTAACGCGCGCGTGGAGCTTGCTATCTGTCAAAGATTAGCTGCTGTAAAAAGTCGTGTTCATGCCTGCTTTAGGTCATGCTGCATCCCTGGGGTTAAACCTGCGTGTGTGCGGCTGTTTCTGCTGCAAGAACACAACCGAAGTGTGCACAGAGACAAAATAAGGAGGGGAGGCTCCCAGGCTTGGTGGAGACTGACCTTACTTCCAGAGTCCTTGGGTCCACACTCCCCTTTATCGTACCACCATTTGTTTTTCAGTTTGTCTAAGACTCCTGCTTCACTCAGTTTCAATACGGCAAGGTTTACGGGCGTTCTTCAAATCATGGGGGACAGGGGAGGGTAGGAAGGGGGGGAAATAACATAAATAACATCATAGGACATGTTATTTTATGTTATTCAATCAGAAGAAGCCCAACAAGAGCAGCTCAGTACTCTTCACAAAGTGACGAAGCCAGAAAGGGGTCCCACTTGAGTTACATGTCTCTTTGCTCCTTTAAGAGAAATCTGGTTTCAGGGTTGGGTTTTTGTTGAGGGGGTCAGAGCGAACAGACATATATGTGTGGGACCCCGGCTGCATCGCTTCATTTTGGAACGGGCACATACTGCCGGGACCTTTTGATCAACGACTGTGGCGTTTTAGTGCTGCAGCGCSGAAAGTATCAGCTCAGAGCGGCCCCAAACGCCAAAATCAGGTTCATTTATTTCTTTAAATTCGCCAAACCTTTTCGCTTCAACAGTATTTGCTGGTTTTGGAGGGGTTCGACCCGGCAGATGCTCCTGTTCCCGACAAAAAAAACAAACAAAAAAACATTTCTCTTCTGCCCAGATCAAGGTCACTTGGGCGTAGCGACATTGCGGCTAACCTTCTCGCCACCGCCTCCGCTGCCACATTCTCCTTTGTCGTACCACCACTTGTTTTTCAATTTGTCCAACAGGCCTTGCTCATTGAGTTTTAACACGGCCAGGTTAACTGCACTTCTTGAAAACGATAAAACATATTTGGTGAGAGAGGGGGGGAGGGTGAGTA